AAGAATTCACTACTGTGATCAGATTGATTGAGATTCAATAAAATGTATTCACTATACAGTGTTCTATCGATCTAATTAATGGATCAATACCTTGAATGAGGAGATTGTTTACAACAGGTCAATACACACACAATCCATTTTACCTCATTAACAAGAGTTTTAGATTTACTTCCATTCTTTGACTCTGATCTATAGAATTGATTCTAAAATAATATGTGGTCAAATAAAGCTGCTTTTTTCTCACTATTTATCAATTCTATTTATAGCCTTGAGTGACTGTATATCATGCTCTATCCTGTCATATCAGGACTCCCTTAAAGTCTCCTAAGTTTGTGTAGCTATTATTTCTTCTCTCTTCGATATTCCATAATTGATATCATAAACCGACTAGGTCTGATATATTACTGTAAAACCATTTATTTTCACTGGCGTTTAATTTCACTATTTCTATGCTTTAAGGGACAACGTCAAAAGATCGAAGTCGGATGAAAAACTTATTTCCTTTAGTTTGGGGGTGGGGGGTTTTGACCTCAAAAAGTTTCCATCCTACAAAAACGATTTTATTTTTTAATGAAGTCAAAAAAATCTTGGAGTATTTGTAGTTCGTTTTTTTCTATCCAATCATGGACAGAAATAACCAAAAAGGAAAAAAAAAACATCCAAGACGAGAAAATGGTTTGGTTCAAGTGTAAATCTGTGCATCAAATGAGGTGCATTTGTAAAATCTTTTTACACCCACCCGACAACGAACTGCTACGCAATACTACTGTCCGATTATCAATTTGTATTTAATGGTGAATGTAGTCTGACGCCATGACCAATATTTATCAATTAAGTTTCAGTGGGGGGTAGGGGGGTTTGGAAAAAAACTAAAGGAATTAAGTTTTTTATCCGACATCGATCTTTTGACGTTGTCCCTAAGCAATTTCGCTTTAAGCAATTTTACACGGTCACATGGATTTAATTTAGTGGATTTTACATATCGGCAAAAATAGAAAAATAAAAAACCAATGAATGATTAATGCATTCAGAGTAGTTTGATTAAAAATAAAAATTTGAAACAAATAAAATTAAATACATCTCATGCCAAATAAAACAGATTTAGTGTTTCTGGGATATTTATTTATTTTTAGGATATTTATCTGGGATAATAAGTTGTACTTTTTGTGAGGACATCTAAGTTAGTTTTCAGAATATAGTTTTTTTAGACAACTAAGTAACAGTCATTCACTATATACAAGGAAGCAAATAAAATAAAAAAATGCAACATTGGTGGAATAAGCTAAATGTCCACAGATATAACTAATTTTGAGATCATTTCTCCCCAAAAACTGGGAATGGAGGGTTATCGGAAACACTGAATTTCTTTTATTTTGCCTTTTCATAAATACACATGTAGTAGAAAAGAAAAACAAATACTTGTAGTTGTATAGAACCTTATTAGTGTTTCCCTTATTATTTATTTGTTTATTTATTTCAGGCCAGACATGCAGCCCTACTTGTAACCTTGGAGAATATTATGACAGTGTTTGTGTAGCATGTCCTGTAGGATACTAGTAAGTATATATACATGTGTGGAACCATGGTGACATCATGGTGGGATCATGGTGAGATCATGGCAGGATTATGGTGAGATCATGGTAGGATCATGGTTAGATCATGGTGGGATCATGGTGAGATCATGGTGGAATCATGGTGACATCATGGTGGGATCATGGCAACATCATGGTGGGATCATGGTGGAATCATGGTGACATCATTGTGGGATCATGGTGA